ACAATATTTAAATTTTAATTAAAAAAAAAACCTGAAATTTGAATAAAAAACTTCCCACACTGATTTTTGCACTTGTATTTTAAAAAACCTGGTTTTATATAATTTTCACTTGTGCTAATGCTAATATTTGGGCCCAAATTTTCAATTTCTCCTTAAGGAATTTATATGGGCTGGGGTAGTGTTAGGCTGGGCTGGGCTACAGCCCATCACTGCCCCCCACTATCTCCGTCCATGGGTGTATGTGACCAACTATTTGGTTAATTTGTAATCAATTATATAATTTGTGATCAATTAATTTGAAAATCTGTTACCAACTAATAAACTGTGATCTATACGCAATTATGATTATTAATTGTATAATTGTGATCTTAATATATTTAATTAATAAAATATTTTTAATCATTTATTTATCATCCGAGTTTTGAATTTTGAAATATAAAACTTGGAAATTGAATTGATTATAGTTAAGGGGAAATTATGCCCAGTACGGCCTGAATACTTTAAAATTGATTAATGCACTTAACATTTTAACTTTTTCTACATGCATATTAATTACGGTGTAATAAAGATAGATATTCCAAACCCTCCTATTTCAATCTCTCCTTTCACTGTCCCAATTTCTAATTTCTCACTGCCTTCCTCTTCCCCGAACTCGCCATTCTCTCCCACCTCCGTTCTCTCCCACTTGTATTCGTCGGAGATTACCAAGCTAACACATATCAACCAAGCTTTTCGGGCAACCGCTTCCACGAATTGAAGTATTTCTAACAAGAGGTCTGATAGTTGCTCTTGTCTTCGTTTTTTGCATCTTTGTTGCAAAAAAATTGATAGATGATTTGAAGATGATTTTATTGGTAATTGGGGAATCATAATTATGATTTTAGCAGTTGCTTCGTGCTACATGTAAGTCTTGCAATTTTCATTTTAATGAATTTTATGTTAGTTTCTCATTTTTTTTAATGGTTTAACCTGTGAAATCTCACCATTGTTGTCTCCAAAATTTGTAGTAGTTAAATTTCTTAGTTTTTTTATTAACAATTTCAAAGCCCTGTAGAATTATGCGATGTTTGACCTGCTACTTCGAGATGAACATATGATTTACTCCTTGTCATCCGATTTCTATTTTCTTTCTATTTTATTAACACATTGAAATTTCTAACCAGGTCGAATTAAGTTGTTGATATTTTGAAGACGAATATTGAAGTTGATAAATGCTGAATTTGGGAGCATTGATAGAGATCATATTACATGGGCATAGTTTATTCTTTTACTTATTCCTGGTGGTATAGTTCTGAAATGTTAATTTGACAGTTTAGCATACACAAGTTGTGGCTATATACTATTTGATTTCTTTTTACTGCATAAATGTCCTTACTTTTGTTGGTCTTCTGTCTGAATCCACTCCCCATATATCATTCTTCCCCATTCCCATAATTACTACTGTGTTACATAAATTTTCTTTCCTGAATCAACTTTTGTAGTGCCTATGGAATTTCAATTATTGGTTTGTCAATGTTATATAGTTCATAAGACTATAATAAACATTTTACAACTTCAAACTATATTATGATGTCTATTTTTTTAGCTTGTGACTTTTATTTTATTAGTTTTTTGTTACTTTTCTAATTTTTGGTACTTTTTTGAACTTGTCATTTTATTGAATTACTTCCAAATACAATTTAATGGTTCGGTCACCCATATAAATGTATTTGTATGTGTGCAACTCTAACATGAGCACTCCATCTTCTTTAGGAAAGAACATATTCATAGTATACTCTACATTATGCATTTCTATGTAGAACCATAAACTATTGTAGATCTATGATACTTTTTGACAACTTATTGGCAATTGGTTATTGCTGATATGACATTGATTCTTTAAAACATTGCAAAGAATGTTATAATGCAATAACTTTAATCCGTCTGCATCTCTGTTCAATATCTAGGTATTTCCTAGATGGTATAAAGCACATGAGTTGTTGTTCTGTGCCAGGCAATATGATGCATGAATAGATGTTTGGGCAATAAAAACACTAGTGAGGAAGTCGAAGAGACCGGTGATCGAAGGTTTTGGTGGAAACATCTGGCAACAGCGGCGGTCTAAGGACTTATCCCCAAGATTCTATGTTATTACTAGTATATTAATTTTGAGAGTCCTACTTTCTTTTGTTTCTTTGAAGTGACTTCCACAAAACTTGCTATGAATGTTTTGTTCTCTATTGGTGTTGTCACCTTTTTGAATGCTTGCAATTTTTTTAAATTAATGTCACTTTTCTGAACGTTTGTCACTTTTTTTGAATTCATGTCATTTTTTTAGTGTTTGTCACCCTTTTCTATCACTTTTTTTATTGTTTGTTACATTTTTAAAAATTTCTGTCACTTTTTTAATCTGTATAATTTCTTTTAATTTGTGTCACTTTTTAAAATTTTGTCACTTTTTTTAATTTTGTCACTTTTTTATCGCTTTTTTAAGCCACCTTCTTGATTTCTATCATTTTTTTTAGTGACAAACATCAATGTTTAATAAAAGTGATATTGTATGTCATTTTTTTTAATAAAAAAGTGATTGTGGGTTACTTTTACTGTGTCATTTTTTCTATTAAAAAAGTGACAATTGATTTTACACAATGAAATAATATGCTATATTTTCCTAACATAATCAGCATGTGGATTGGCCTGGACGTGCTGATTATTTTAAGAACATGATTACTGATATTGCACAAATGGATGTTGCTATTTTGGTATTTGTCACTTTTTTTGAATTTGTGTCACTTTTTTGAGTTTGTATCACTTTTTGAGAGAGTGTGTGTCACTTTTTTTAGTTTCACTTTTTTAAAAAGTAAAAAAGTGATATTGTGTCATTTTTTCATTTTACACAGTATTTTTTACTTCCTAAAACCCTTTCATATGATTTTTCAAAATATTCCTAATTTTAAAGGTATTTTTGTAACTACCTCTATAGTTAATACCTGTGAATTTTTCCCCTACAGATTTTGGTTGGGTTCAGCCCAAACTTATCTGCTTGTTGGGTTTAATTTGTATTCATTGGACTTGACATGCCTCAGCCTAATAATGGATTAAAATTTATACGTAATTAGCACAAAATATCTCTATTTTTTGCTTTCTTTACCATTATAGTCCCATTGTCGCAATTTTGATATTTGTACCCTTTAATCAACCTTGTTTTTCACAAAAAGCCCTTTCCATCACCTACCATCCATTTATTTTGTTAAATAGACGCGTGCTCTGCATATGATTAAAAAAAAAAAGAAGAAGAAAATAAAATTTCAAAAGCAGATTCTTCATTAAAGCCCCACAACTAACCCTCCTCCTTCCAGATACCATCACTCCCACCAATAAAAATCCCAGGTGTCTGTTGCCCAGACTCCGATGAACACATGCCAAATTTAACTAAAACCCTAAATCTGGTAACTTTGATAACTCAGAATTTGCTCTCTTTAGAAAATGGTAGCCTATAATTGGCTCCCTTTTGTAACTTTGGCAGTAATATACTAATTTTATCCATGTTAGAGAGTGTGTGGTTTTTTATTTTTTTTCTTCTAAATCAATTACAGGTTACTTCGTGGTGTGCTATATCTAGAAAATAGACAACACTAAAAATTCAAGTGTCCGTTTCGAGCTCGATTCTAATCGATGCTTCTGACAACTTTTGTCCTTCCCTAAGGTCCCCTACTCTCAATGGGATTTTAATATGATAACCAAGAACATCATTGACCCTTGAGGATTTTTTTTTTTTTTTTTTTTTTTAAATACTACTAATAAATGTATCTTGAAATTATATCATCTAAATTTTAATTACATACCAACCACCACCCACTTGAACATGTGGTATGTTGGTTAAGCCTTTGTCTTGTAGGGTCCACTCCCATACTTAGCACATTATATGGTTTTGTGAAATATCCAGTGTGGGCCCACATTTTGGTGGGACCCAATGAAGAAATGTAGGTTTCTGAATTTGGTCCCTTTTCCACCTTTTGTTTCATATAGGGATTGATCTAAAAGGTTTGAATTATTGAAGATTTTGAATTCAAGTCAATTATCTACTAAATGATTCACACACGAAAAGTTTACATAAAGGCAATGGTGATTAGAAGAAAGCTTAATGAAAACTATGTAGAAAGTTACAAAAAGGTAAGATTCATCACTTTCACTTTTTTCACCTTTTGCACTTAGTGTGAAAGGAGAAGGAATGTTAAAATAATGGTTTTATTCCTATAGCATTAATGGTTCATAGAATAAAAACAATTTTTTTTTTTTAATTAGACACAAGTGTTTGTACACATGAAGGTAGAAATAGAAGAAAAATAAGATTATTCGATCTAAATTGTATGTTTATGTAATATTTACACACAAGTGTTTGTAAACGGGGAGATATAAAGAGTTAAAATAAAATAAATAATAAAGGTCTATGATAACTCGATTCTTGTTGACTTGCCTTTGGAGAGCTTGTATATATCTCTCCACAAAGAACTAGAGGTATACACGAATCTGATTGTCGGACCTTACCCTTTTATTTTGTTACTTTTAAGGAAAAAAAGTCATGCAAATTCACGAATGTAATGACATAATTTTAGGGTCCGATTTATATAGCTTCTGCTTTAGAGTGGTACAAGAAGAGAAGTAGAAGCTTTTGAATTAGTGTTTAAAAGAAATGGCGAGAATTAGGAACGTCGCGATTAAGGATAGAGTTCAAATTTGAAATTTCATTAAACTAGAAAAATGTCTTTCCCTTTTTTGAGAAAGAACTTTTAGAGAAAATCACATTGAACTGAATTTTTCTAACTAGAAGAATCATTTTTATAAAGTTAATAAAACAAGTTCAAAAATAACTGTTGAATCTCAAAAACAAATTCTGACTTCTCAAAAATCATGTTCAACTGATCTTAATATATAGTACATATTCGATACTACCATTTCTTAACTACTCAACTCAATTTTACACTCTAGATGGACACAAATCTTTATAAAGATGTGTTAGTGGTATATAATTATGAAAGTGGAAAAGGATAATGTGAAGAGTGAAGCACTCGTGCAAAAGTAATTAAAATAAGGGGAAGAATTTAGAAATGTCTTTGTCTGTCACACGAGGGCTAAAAAGGTAGCACAAAAACCCATCCTTCTGCCCACGTGCATACCTTTGACACAAAAAAAAAAAAAAAAAAAAACATTATTCTAAGTCCAATATGCCCCTCATAATAATCAAATTTGATCATAATTTTAAATTAAAGTTAGTAATTAATTTTAATAACATATTTTATGGGATTCATAATTTTTCAATAATATATTTTTTCAATTTTTATTAAAATTTACTAAAAAATTGATTTTAATCATTATCAAACATAATCTTAACTTGTGCACACCAGGAATTGCCACCACATTTTGTTGCATTTCATCTCCAACTGTACCGCACTAGATTTATTTCCATACGTACCTAACATGCCCCCTTTTGATATAAAGTAGTTTTATTGTCTTGCGGTACGTTTGACGCGACACAATACTTTTGTATGATACGATAAGAAAATTTATGTCTCGATGTCCCCCGTACTGCATTGTATTGTGTTGTGTTGAGCTGGATTTTCCCATGACAATTATTTAAATTAAATTAATTAATAGTTGAAAGACGATTGTTGAATTGTAAATCCGTTTGGTTGTGAAACTATCATCTTCAATCCGGGATGATCTAACCCTTGTTTGATCGAATTTTTTTATATTATAAATCAGTGAATCTAATGAAATGTATAGTTAAAAAGTCGATAAAAGTTATCTGTTCAAAATTCCGTCGGTGAAGTAAATTAGTTTCTTGATGCCTATAATGTTGTGATTGTTCATGTAATTTAGAGTATGCATAATTTTAGAATTGAACTCTTATCTCCAGTGTGTGACAATTTTTTTCACTATTGATGTGGGAGAGAGAACCGTAAGTATGATTTTCTGAATGATTACTGCAGCGAACTATAAGTAATATTCGTATTTCTTATATATGTTTTTTATATAATTAAATAATTTCTATTTGCATTATCTTTTCAATCCGATCCAATGAATCATCGATTCAATCCAAAATATGATCCTTAATAAATAATGTGTTGACTCTAAAGACCAAACAAGAACATGAAGGTCACGTGATAGAGGGTGTCCAATTTGGTATGAGGCCATAAACGTACGCCACAATAAGTGCGCAACTGCCCATCCACCTGGCGTCAGTTTGCCATAAATAGCCGGAACCGTTCTATCCTGCGCCGTAACAAATATAAGATGGCACGTTTAGTAAAATCCATATATCTGGAGGTCAATAATGTCATTTAGAACTCTACATGCCCAACATTATCCATCAAACAAATCCCTAATCACATAATGTAACTATTTCACTTATCTTAAATCTCTGTTTTTTCACCTTTTTTTTTTTGTCATTTACTTGACCCCACCATCCAACATAATTACAAAATAACAGCTAGAGAGAAACTATCTCGAGGAAGAGTAAAATAAATGTGACAATATGCTAATTTGTAACATGGCAACACTACTCTTGAAACTACACACAGATTTGAGATCGAATCGCTGGTTTGAACTTGGCATTAATATTATATACACTATTAATACCATTGGTCCTCGACCTATTGAATATTATTTAACATTGGCACCTGAATTATGAATACTTTAAAAATTCACGTTTTAACTTCTGTGCTCAATAGTACATGTAAATGGGATAATTTGAGTGTATATCAAAACCAATGATTCACTAATCTCATGTCCATAGAGATTTCGAGACATACAATTGAAATGACTTGTGCTAAATAACTGTATTTTTTCTATTTTACTGTCTCGTGAACGAACGTAAGAAGGAAAGTTACAAAACATGATCATAAAGGCATGCGAAGTAGACAACAAGCAACAACTTCTCAATCTTCCTAACCTTATAAAAGTGTTGACGCACCCTTCTATTTATTATTAATAATAATAAGGTAAATTAACCTGAACAGACGTTACTTTATCTCTTTTATAGCCTCGTGAGCAACGTAAGAAGGAAAGTTACAAAACAGGACAATGAAGGCTAGAGAACTAGATAGCAAGCAACAACTTCTCAACCCTCCAAACCTTATGAAAGCGCCAATGCACCCCTCTTGTTTAATATTGATAATAATAATAAGGTAAATGAAGCCAGCTATTTTGCTATACTACACTAATGGTAGGGTTCTAGCACTTGACTACTAGTCTTTGTTTGGTGTAGCTAAAAATTAATTTTTGATAAAAATTGATTAAAATAAAATTACGATTTTAACTTAGATTTTTAACAATTTTTTTAATCTATACCAAACATGGACTTAAACTATTAAGTACCGCGTCACCTAAAAAACGGTTATTTTATTAGGAAAGTGTTTGAAAAAAAAAAAAAAAAATACAATGTAGATGGTGGATGGGAGTATAAAATAAAAGCCAGAGGGGCACCAAAATAATTTTGTGGGTTCAATTATAAAGGCACCGTTTCTTGGTTGGTTTGTGTTTGTGTCTCGCCTTCTTCAACTATGCCATGTGATCTTTCGTAGCTATCTTGATTGACTTCCGACGAAAGCTACAGGTACAGATTCATCAACCCTAACGCCAAACCGCCGGAATTTGACGTCAATTCGCCGGAGAGTTTGATTTTCCTTTTTACTGGTGCGGTCAAGGAATTACCATGAGTAGTGTTCATAATAGCGTGGAGACTGTAAATGCTGCGGCAACTGCCATAGTTGCTGCTGAATCCAGAGTTCAACCATCTACACGACAGGTATATATAGATTTATTATCGTATGTGTTTGTGTGTAGAGGTTGTCAGTTTGCTTTGCTTATTGCCTGTTTTTGGATGTGGAAATGTTGCTTGATGAGATCTTTCTCGATTTGTACGAGTCTTATTTTTATTTTTGACTGTTAAAATTGAAATTGATGTGGTTTACTGTTGATTATCTTGTTCTTGTTATTGAATTTGAAGTTTCATTTTTTTTAAAAACTGTTTTTACTTTTATCAAAGGAAGAGGAAAAAAAAATAAAAATTGAAGCTTTGATTTTACAATATAATTTCATTATGTTGCGAGATTCAAGAGATACTGTTTTGTAAACTAAATTTTTTCGGCTAATTTTGACCTTGAATTGAGATTTGAAAGAATGAACTTTTGACTTGTAATGATTTTTTATATTCATATTTAAGCTTGGACAGAATAATTTTGTTTTTTTAACGTTGTTGAAGAAAACAATTTTTCTGAGTTAACTGTATTTGTAGAATTTTCATGTACTGTACCACCACAATTGAAGTGTATAGAGAGATTGGGTCAGTGGGGGTAATCCTTCATCATCAATTTACTCATCAAAGCCCATTCTTTTCCTTTCAATTCCACCTTTGACCGAGATTAAGCTGTGATTTCAAGGTCCAAGGGTGCTGGCGTGAGAAACCTTACTCAAACTCTAGTGCTAGTATAAATTATGCACACTGCAAGAAAGGACAAGAAATAACCAGACTTGGTAAATATAGCCACGATAGTGGTAATGTAAGAAAATGAAGACACAAGAAAGGAGACGAAAATTTAGGGAGTTGAGCCGTTGGGTTTGGGATAGAGTTATTAACAACCTCATCTCTGCGTATTGCCAGATGGTTGATTGCCTACTGACCTGAAGAAGTAGCACAATGAGGCGGACTTCTTCTGACGGACATTGTCCAGTTATAGCTGTTCTCTAGCTATTCATGTTATTTAATTCTTTGTCTACTTTGGTATGGTGCTTCTTGAAACTAATTTCAAGAGCACGTGGGATAACTCTGTTTTGTGACAAAAGAGAGCAGTAGACTTATCCATTATCTTTAATCAGCATAATTGAAGTAATATGTGGACTTATAAAATGTTAATAAGTGGGCATGAAGTTTTGGCTTTAATTCGGAATTCATAATCTTTGGCTTAATACATGTTTGCTTGACGTATTATAAGAAGAACAGCCATCCTGCTTTATTAGCGGTCTTTGCAAAACTGGAATGAGAAGAAAGTCATCTTTCTAATTAGTAATCATATAAAATTTACCAAGAGTTACCTTTTATTTTTTTTCAATCTCGTGGAGGACACCCTTAGAATTGAGTACTTTAATTGCTTACCTTACTCTGGTGTTGTTTTCAATTACGTCATACAGATACTCTATTTGAACAAATGGACTGCAAGTAAATCTGTTCGACTATGAAAGTAATTTAGCTGAACTAAAAGTGGAAAGATGCATCATGATTAAGTTATATAATAGTTAGCTTGCTCCCCATGATTTAACTTTTTTAAAGCCAATTTGATTTGTCCAGACCTTTGTATGCTTGTCTGCTAGTTGTTAACACTACAAAATAATACTCCTTGTTCTCATTTTGGCACGGAGTTGAAATACAATATTCTATATTTATGCAAATATGGAACCCCACCCTCTCCACCTCCTAGTTTTTCATCGATTGGGTCTTGCAGGAGTTGTTATTTTGGCCTAATTCATAACATCTGTTATGTTTATTTTGCTTCAGAAGAGACGATGGGGAAGCTGCTGGAGTCTGTATTGGTGTTTTGGTTCACACAAACCCGACAAACGGATTGGTCATGCTGTCCTTGTTCCGGAACCAACTCCTCCCGGGGTTGAAGCTCCTCTTGCTGAAAATCCAAACCATTCTGCCACCATAGTATTGCCCTTCATAGCCCCTCCCTCTTCACCTGCATCTTTTCTCCAATCAGATCCTCCGTCCGCCTCCCACTCACCTGCTGGTTTACTTTCCCTAACAGCACTTTCTGTTAATGTATACTCTCCCGGTGGGACGGCGCCGATTTTTGCAGTTGGCCCCTACGCTCATGAGACTCAATTAGTTTCACCACCGGTTTTTTCTGCCTTCACCACTGAACCATCAACTGCTTGTTTTACTCCCCCTCCTGAATCAGTGCAAATGACAACACCTTCTTCACCAGAAGTGCCATTTGCTCAGCTTTTGACGTCATCACTAGCACGTAATCGCAAAAACAATGGAACCAATATGAAATTCTCATTATCCCAGTATGATTTTCAGCCTTATCAATACCCTGGAAGTCCTGGAGGTCGTCTAAAATCTCCAGGTTCAGCAATTTCTACTTCAGGAACCTCTTCACCCTTTCCTGATAAGCTCCCTATTGTTGAATTCCGCAAGGGGGAAGCTCCCAAATTTCTAGGATATGAACACTTTGCCAATCGTAAGTGGGGTTCAAGAGTCGGTTCTGGATCATTGACTCCAACTGGTTGGGGATCAAGGCTAGGCTCTGGAACATTGACACCAAATGGTGGGCTTTCTAGGTTAGGTTCTGGAACTGTAACACCTAATGGTGGAGAACTCCCGTCTCAAGACAGTTATCTTCTAGAGAGCCAAATTTCCGAAGTGGCATCCCTTGCCAACTCAGATAACGAATCAAAAGATGGGGAAGTTGTAGCGGATTATAGAGTCTCATTTGAGCTTATTTGTGGAGATATTCCGACCTGTGTGGTAAAGGAGTCAGTTCCATCAAACAAAATTGCATTGCAAACTGTTCCAGAGACAGCAACGAATGGTACAAATAAAAATGATTTGATGGCAAAGAACACAGATTGTCGTGGAGAATATTCTGATGGGGAAACTGTCAGTGAATTTCCCAACGTGGCTCGGAGGCATCGTACCATTTCACTAGGTTCTAGCAAGGATTTCAATTTCAACAATGCAAAGGAAGAAGTCTTAGACAAGTCCACTATTGACTGTGAGTGGTGGATTAAGGACAAAGTTGCGAAGAAGGAATTAGGTCCTCAGAAAGACTGGACTTTCTTCCCAGTGCTGCAGGCCGGGGTCATCTAATGTTAGACGTATGCATATCTCCGCTAAAGTTTAGTTTTATCAACTTAGAACTCGTGCAGGTTTCAACCCGAGAATGCAGTTATGGAGGTAGAGATTTTGCAAGCCCGTGAAAGTAATGTACAAATGAATTCTGCAGCTTAGTTGCTCGAGTAAGACCATTTCTGTAGTATTGTTTAAAGTTTTCTTTTTGCTATTCTTTATTTTAGATGTATACAGTAATAAAACAACCGTTTTTTTCTTTTTCTGAATCAACTCTAAACAGAAACAAACATTCATGTAAGTGAATTCGTTTATGAAATCTAGTGCCTACTCTCTAAGTACCTCATATTATGGATAGAAACATGGGAATAGATTAATCTTTCTTCTGTCATTAAAATTGTATTCTGTTTCAAGGATCTGCTGATATCTCTGCATCTCTTTTTATTTCCCATGTATTTTCTTGAACTCGTATATGAAAGTATATAATTATTGGCTTTGTGATACCACGAAAATGAGCCTCGTTTTGTATGTTGGAAGTATATGGCTTAACCTCTTAGAGAGGAGACATGTTTATACATTTATTTGTTTACTTAATTTAGTTTTCAACATATTCCTCATGTGCATGTTTGATTCATTTTTCATCAAAAGTTTGACACGTGCACAATTTTCATAGATGGGTTGTTTCGAGTTTGGACTTTGAAACCTCGTTGAACTGTCTCGTATATGATAAGCTTTTAGAGAGGACAATATTTATTTATTTAAATTTAATTACTCGAAACAAAATCTTGAGTTGCTTAAAGCTGAAACATACATTCATTTACAGGCAAGTTTGTTGCCTATAATGCCTCCAAAATGAATGATTTTTCATATGGTACAGAACTTCTAATCTATACATTATGGTGGAAAGAGGAGTCGAGTAGCGATTTTGGAAGCAATATTTTGGAGGAATAACTTAAATGAGTACAGAAAAACAATCTGATTCTGAAAATTCTGGTGTCAGCTTATCTTATTTTGTCCTGAACTGTTTTCTCATAATGCAAATATATCCAACACCTGCAAGAATTGAACTCTTAGTCCTCCTCCCTCATTGGTGTTCACAGACATCAAAAATTATCCTCATTGGTGGTAACGAAACTCTAATTTATAAGTGCAACAAACCGAGAAATGTAATTTTTTTTTTTGCGGGCTGAAAGTCTGGGACCTTACAAGTGCGAAGTTTCAATTGAGCAAGTTGTCATTTGTCCCCTTACTACACATAGGGGTGTCTCTTGAAGTTCCAACATTACACGACAAAAATATAAGCACTTCTTTTTTCATCTACCAACACGTGAAAGGCTAATTTTAATTTTCCTTGACTTCCACTTCCATGTTTCCATGATCAATGGGTCAGTTTAGGTTATGATTTCTCATTTTTCAAAAATCATTTTGAACAAATAAATTGTTGGGTGGCATTTCCTTAAAGAGTTAGAGAGAGAGAGTGTGTATCAAGCTGTCGGTAAGGGTCCACTTGATCCTCTTTTCTAAGATCTCGAATGAGGGACCCCTAAGAGAGCATTCGATTCCAATTATCCATCAAATTTATTCTACATTCTTGGCAGCTTATTTTTGTATCAATAGAGTGTACTAGTGACATGTTTCAGTTCTCTTCACTATTACTTAGAAAAAGTGCTCGTTTCAAGTACAATATATTATCATTGTCGTCTAGACAATTTGACATCTACCACATAATTATAGCGACCCAAGAGATGCACTTCACCACTCGAGAAAATATCTTTCGAGCCAAGTAAAGCATGCATGAAGTAGTCAAGTACTTCTTCTATTCTTCTCCCTGGTATAACTAGGCCATGCTGGATTTACTGCGATAATCCCATTGCAGGAAACATCGGGTTCCAACATAAACAAATGGTGTGTATTGAACAAATGTGGGATAGGTCCACAAAGCTCCCATTTTATCCCATTGTACTGCTGCAATCAGTAGAGTAGGGTATGTTTTAAGCAAATTCAACATCTATAGGAGCTATATGGGTAGTTGTTAGCCCCGTGATGAACTTGGCCAATGAGGTAGTACCATATGGCAAGACGTCATAGGACAGCAATTGGCTAACAACTAATATTGAAAATATTGTTGACCACCTAAAATCCTCCAACACGGAGGGAACACACTTGTACAAGTTAATTCCTACGTATGTGACACTTGAAACCTTGGAAGGATGTTAAGGGTATTTTGGTATATTAGGTATGAATGGCAAAAAAACTCATTCAACCCGAAATCCGTGGGGCTCTGCCTCGAACAATGCGAGGATTACCAGCCTAATTGGGTAAACATGGCGAGAGTCATTGCCCCGAAGCGGGTATGAGAATCATAGTACCCACCCTGCTACACATCCCATTTAAAGATAATTTTAAATTTAAATTTTTTATCAAACAAAAATAATATATTTATCAAATTTTTAAAGAGAACATAAGTTGTTTTTAACAAATTGGTAAAAAAGTAAGAATATTTACTAAGAAAAGACATAAAAGAAAATAAAAGCAAAAAATAAAATAAATGGGGCGATAGCCCCGTCCCGTCCCGTCCCGTCCGTCCCCCTTTAAACAGGTATGGAGATGGGACAAAGTAACAAAAATACCCAATGGAACGGGGGTTGGAATGGCCAATCCGTCTCATATCTGCCATGTTGTCATCCCTAATATTGGGAGATATCTTTATTGCTAAACCCAATTCATGTATTGCATTTGCGAGTAAAAGAGTAATTGAACAAACGGTAGTGTTTGTTCTCGTGCATTCAACATGCCTATCAAATCAAGGGACGGTTCAAAGGGAAAAAGTAAATCATACCAAGTGAAGGATCATGACGGATTTCAACTTGAAATTTAATGGTTTTAAATTGGATTTTAGCCAAGAGACTTGTTACTGATTAGCCTAAATCATGCCTGTGAACTGAAATCAATCTTTAAAGTCTCTTTGAGAAGAAAATAATCTTAAATTCCATCAAACTAAATATAGAACAGATTACAACGATTCAACAATTAAAAAATTTAAAAGGTAAGGGTCCTTTTATAATTTACTAATTTAGACTCGTTTTAGGCTAATTATGCTTGTTAATTGCATTACATTTTAATTGCAATGAAGCTTTTCGTCGTTTGTTAATTTTCACATTTATGCTTCTTAACTTTTTTCATCGTATTTTTTCTGCAACTTTCGATTGATCAATGCATTGCGTCCCCAATGACAACAAATATGAGGAGGTAAAAAGATTTATTTGGCCCTCATATTTTTAGATAATTAAGATAGACAATAAATACAAATGCCAGGCAAAATATTTTCCCATACTAACAACATATTTGGATAGAAATCATCATTAGATACAAGATGTATTAATTAATTAAAAGTTAAAAACAAAAAATGAGATGAAAAACTTAGGAACGTAAGTGCAAAAACTAGAGACTTTTGTTGCAATTAAAATGTGGCGAATCTAACAATAATTGTAATGTAATACCCATGAAAAATTTGATATTATTAAAGGAAAAACTAAAACTGTCAAAAATGATCCATATGAATAATTTTTTTTATGAAATTATGTCATAATGTTAAATTGTTGAATTAATTGAAATGTAATGTTTTGATTACAATAACATTTCTTTGTACACAATATTTTTTTTTTCAATGTCCCATAGTTTTTTTTTTTCAAGACTTTTGTTGTTTGCATTGAAATTTCGCAAAAAAAGTGTGACACATAATTATCCATGGGAGAATACATGTTCAGGAATGCATATTTCAATAGTAGACACTTTTTGTCATTGAGCCTTGTGAATGGTCATTGAAAAGTATAGAGGTATTGAAAGTTATTTCCCCTTGAATTTGAATGGATATTCGTAATCAACTGATGGAGTTAAGGGAATGCGCGGAAAGAAAACTTATTTTTCAGTGTATTGTCCAACGATTATTTATGCATGGATAATATATGTCTATAGGAATCACGACAAATAATTCCTGCTCCATTGCAAAGATAGTTGGATGAGTCCAAATTCCATAAGAGCACTGAACAATTTCTTTTCAAGATTAACGTATATGACATGATATCATTTGACAACAATTTATTTAGAAACTCCTCTTTGTAAAATTTGTTTGTATCATTTATTGCTTCGTCAAAAGGAAAATATAGAAATTTTAAAGTAATGGACACCATCTCCCATTGCTTCCGTATATCCTATTTCAAAAGGGTATTTGGAAAAATAACTGACTAAAGATAATATATATTGTGTTACAGGAATATATCAATATATTTTCTTCAAAAAATTGCTAAATATTCAAATTTTGATCTAGGCAAAAGATTTTTTTTTTTTAGGTGTCAAAGTTAACCAAAACATGAAATAAAATAAAGGAAAATATAGGGAAGTAAGAAATTCAGTAGTAAGAACTCACCAAACATAAATATGAAGATTCTAAATTGTTTCTTAAATATTGGCACTAAATTGTTGGACTGTGAGAGAGAGACTGCAATTTGCATGTTAAAATTCCAAAATTTTGAAAAATCAAAGTCTTATTAGGGACTTATTGTTGAACTAAGTGCACGAACATTAACATAAATACAACCGAAATTCCAATATATTTTGATTTATCCACGACACAAAAACATATAAGATTGTGTTGATACCATTTCATTTTGTATAACAATTTTAGAAATCAGTAGTGGTCTCAAATAACAAATTGATGTGTAAAATAATTCAATTTATTATTGAATTTCACTATAAATTATTCGACAATTGAAGTCATATAGTCAGTCTTATATACTCACAAATGTTCACAAGTCAATATAGGGCCCGTTTAATTCTCATTATCGTAGAATGATAATGAAAAATATAGTCGTTATAGATTAAACTCTAAATCAAAATAAATGACTGTTTGATTCTCATTATTGTAGAATGAGAATGAGAAATATAAACATTATTGGGCCCCACACAAGAGATAGAAATTCAAAATTGATGGCTTGATGTGATAGATAACGGTCATATTTTTCATTTTTATGGATGAAAAATGAGAAACAAATGGGGGCATAATAGAAAAAAACTAAAAAACCAATCAATATATTGAGAATCGAGTTTAATATTATAAGTTGCAAAATTAACTTAATGCATTAAAAATTAGGAAGATTAAAAAAGGACATAGTTGAAAAAAATAAAAAATTTAAGGACAAAATTGTAAACAAATGAGGGCAAATTCGACGTATAACTAAATATATAAGGGTAAAATTGATATTCAAAAGTTTCTCCTCAATCACTCATTTTTAAATATTGTACATAAATTCAGTAATAAAAAATGTTTAGTTATACTTCAAAATCGACACAACGAAAGTGAAGAAGCCCTTCGTCTCACGTTTATTGAATGAGTATTATTTCTTGTTCATAGGCTTGTATGTAATAGAAATGAAAGTTTCAATCTTAGTATAAATCTATCTCTTAATATCGATGATGATATTCCATCGTCTCTATTTCAATTTTTATTTATAAGATATATTGTTACGAAATACTATGAAAAATACTTTTTTAGAAGGTTTTTGAAATTGTATTTAGAGGAAATTACACCCTAGCCTGTTTTTAAGTTTTCATTTTCATTAATACAAAATGAGGTTTATAAGTTCAGAAATCAGGTTTTTTAAGTAATTAATTATATTTTTAATTAACAAATATTGGCACTAAATTGTTGGACTATGAGAGAGAAACTGCAATTTGCATGTTAAAATTCCAAAATTTTGAAAAATCAAAGTCTTATTAGGGACTTATTGTTGAACTAAGTGCACGAACATTAACATAAATACAACCGAAATTCCAATATATTTTGATTTGTCCACGACACAAAAACATATAAGATTGTGTTGATACCATTTCATTTTGTATAACAATTTTAGAAATCAGCGGTCTCAAATAACAAATTGATGTGTAAAATAATTCAATTTATTATTGAATTTCACTATAAATTATTCGACAATTGAAGTCATATAGTCAGTCTTATATACTCACAAATGTTCACAAGTCAATATAAGGCCCGTTTGATTCTTATTATCGTAGAATGTGAATGAAAAATATAGTCGTTATATGTAGCCATTTCATATAACCATGTATCCTTCATCTAATGTGCAATCTCATTTCACAAATTAAGGGCCCGTTTGATTCTCATTATTGTAGAATGAGAATGAAAAATATAGTCGTTATTGGGCCCCACACAAGAGATAGAAATTCAAAATTGATGGCTTGATGTGATAGATAACGGTCATATTTTTCATTTTTTTGGATAAAAAATGAGGAAACAAATGAGAAACAAATGGGGCATAATAGGAAAAAAAAAACTAAAAAACCAATCAATATATTAATATAACAACAACAATATATAATTAGTGAGAACAAAATAAGCCCCACATCCTTCCCTATTTTCTCAAAGTCATCAAAAGCTTTATTGAGTTCAAACCCATCAAAGCCTCATTTAACTTAATGCATTAAAAATTAGGAAGATTAAAAAAGGACATAGTTGAAAAAAATAAAAAATTTAAGGACAAAATTGTAAACAAATGAGGGTAAATTCGACGAATAACTAAATATATAAGGGTAAAATTGATATTCAAAAGTTTCTCCTCAATCACTCATTTTTAATGAGTATTATTTCTTGTTCATAGGCTTGTATGTAATAGAAATGAAAGTTTCGATCTTAGTATAAATCTATCTCTTAATATTGATGATGATTCCATCGTCTATATTTCAATTTTTATTTATAAGATATATTGTTACGAAATACTATGAAAAATACTTTTTTAGAAGGTTTTTGAAATTGTATTTATGCATGCCATGTAAGGGCACTAGTTTTAAAAGGAAGAAATTGACATATTTATAATTGATGATTTTTTATACACGTCTTAATCATGTTAAAGTCTCTAGTTGTAAAAACATTTGGATTTAAGAATGAATCATTGCCCTTTTCGATTCTTAATATCCAAATCGAGGACGAATGATCAATGCATTTTACTTATTGAATATGATTCTATTTTCGTCCTAGAAGCCCTGAATGCCAAAGGCACTTTCATATTTTTTTTTTGGCTTGTCGATCCACTGATGACTTCACAACATAAAAGTAAAATATTTACATTCCAATTCCTGTATAACATTAATAATTCAGAAACAACAAGAAAACTTCTAAGAATGACTAATACAAACCAATACAACAATACTACATATATATTTTCTTTAAACTTTGTTTCCATGATATCGATAATACAACCTTACTTAATCAAATCCATGCTAAATTCCCATAATTTTTTTGACAAATCCGTGTCTGCAGCCTTTGAACTTGGTTTGGCCAAGTTATTGTCTGAAAAATATTCACCACTTATCCCCTTCACTTGTGGATGCAATGCCACATAACAGGTTGTTGATGCCCCCTTCAGACCAAATTTAGACAAGAAATGTGAGAAACAAATTTTGCTTTTCTGTACAATGTCATCAAATAATTATGTTTTTCATGAAAAAATCCTATGCAAGAAAGAGTGTTGAATAATTTTCACGTTTCTTTAGCTATTACTAGACTTGAAACGCTAATCGTCCTATATTAATACTACTTTTAGAGAACTCGAGAATAGCATTAATCTTCAAGCTGTGCTTTCAAAATGCAGACTGAACGGGAACATTAACAAACCTGTTGAATGTCTTTTAACACAAATTTACCAATTATGCTTATAACACCTGCGCCAAAGAAGAAAGTACAAACCGAGTTAGTCATGATATGCACTACGCACAGACAAAGATGTCTAACCTTCTCCAGATTTATCATGAATCCTGCATATAGGGCTACAAATGTTGGTGCAAATCAAGTAATTTTAGATCTGGCCACTGGAGAATACGAACTTATGCCTTCTCAAGAAAACTTCTTTCTATTTCAAGATATTATCGAAAACCCATGTAATCACACGAGTTTAAGATACTTCCAAGTATTTATGTTGCAACCTTCATACATATCTAACAGAATGCAGCATGTTCATTACCAAGAAAATGAACTTTTCACTATCAGCATAAAAACCAACTTTTATTAATTTGGCTCCAAATACAAACGATTTTGTTGATTAGATGGCTCATATATTTATGTAGAATCAACTAGCCCAAAAGGTTAAATGTAGATAAGTTGTAGTACAGTATTTCAAAGGTAATTTCAAGATTAGAGTTTTATATAAATAACCTATTGTAACCCTATTTGAAGTTAGTGAATTATTTTGTGCCGTACGTTGGACGTAGGCAAATTGGAAAACCATTTAAATTTATGTTTGTCGATCTTATCGTTCTTCTTTATTTGATTTTAGTTTTTACTGTTTACTTTTGCACAAAAAATTCCAACGGAATCAAAACTCCAAACATGCAACCGAAAGTAAATTGATAATTTGTTATCGAGCTCAAATATGCAACCGAAAGTTAATTGATAATTTGTTATCGAGGCATTAAGTCAAATCATTTAAATATACTTTTGAAAACACCCAAGTTACCTTTAAAAACACCGGAGTTACGGAAAAGATTGGTTGTAATTGCTCCAGGATGAAGTGAATTTGCAGTTATTTCTTCTCCATCTTCCTGTTCAAGGAATAAATTGCCAAATTTCAAAAGAAAGTTAAATAAAAGCATTTGAATTAGAAACTTTTCTCCATTATGAAATAAGAAAAAAGTATTTAAAGTAACAAAAAAAACTACTGTCAACTGATCCAAAAATTGAACTTCAATTTTCAGATGTTCAAAGCATGTTTGAGAAGTGTTTATAAGCGGTTTCAATTATGAATATATAAAAATGAGTAGTGGTTAAGTTGATAGCACTCGTGGATTTCTCAAAATGTGTGTATAAAAAGTGGTTTGAGTGTTTATAAACCGTTCATAAACATGAACCAAACATAGGCTTATATGCAAAAGTGATTTCAATAACTATGAATATACAATATACCAGCTTCAAATTAAATGAGATTGGATGTGTATTTTTTTTGTGTGTGTGTGTGTTACAACTCATTTTTTTAAGTCAAAAGTCAAACGTTGACTTGTCAAAGTCTTAGTCAAATAAGGACTTAAATAGAACAAATTATTTTATTGGGGTTATTTTACAAATTGATAATATTTAAAGGTTTAATATGGATAAAAATTAATTTTAGGAGTTTACTTATATATTATTAAAAGTAACATGGTCAGATTTTATATCCAATGGAAGTTTATGGACTAAATGTTAAGTTTAATTGTAGGAGAGGGACTTCCTTTGCAATTGTGGGTGAGTGGATTACAAGTGGCAATTATATAACCAATTTACCCAATTTTTCATTGAACTCTGCTTCATGTACAGAAGCACAGTTCACAGAAGAAAAATAGATCCTCACAGCAGGAGGGGTGGGGTTTTTTTTTTAATATTTTACTCATGTGGGACCACCCCGAGTATACTGTTGGTTTTCTGGGATTTGCTCTTTTTCATTTGAGATACATACACCCAAAGAGAGGAACCGGTAGAGAGGGGGAAAATCGAGAAAAGGGGGAAGAAAAGGGAAAAATGAAGAAAGAAAAGAGAAGAACAAGAAGAGGAGGAGGATGAAAAGAGGGTAAGAACCTAAAATCAAGGAGGTAAGAAGTAAATAACTTTGTAATAGAAATTGGTATAATTGTGTGTTTATTGTTAAGATCCAATTTAATTACAAATTTCCATAGGTTGGTTTTTATAAATAAAGATGGGGGTTATCAGTGATATCAATTATTTATGATTGATATGATAATTACTTGTCTTACTTTTATTTTAATTGTTCAACTATGTTATAGAGTTAGCCATAAGGAAGTATAGAAAGTAAGTTTGATGTTTTATTATTATGGACTAAACTATGTTAATTGAATGGTGTTGGGGGTGAAAATAAGCCATATAGATTAGAAGTTGTTGGAATGGAAAAGAGCAGGTGCATAAATCGAATTGACTGGATAAATATATGTGTAATTGTGCTTTGATTAGCAGAAATGCCAATGGAAATTGAATTAGTTGAACAGGGCACAAATGGAAGTCGTCACTTGAAATAATGATTTTATGGAAAAATATGTAAATTAAATTGGGTGTAGTATTGATGGCTAGTTTTCACTAGATTGAGATGGGATAATTATTCTTATGATCAGTTATGGTGATTTTACCCGCTCTGCACTAGTGTGTATGTGTTTTCATAATGTATGACCAGATTATAGCTCTGCGCGCATATGACCATAATTACAGAATTGAATAGCTTTGCCATGTATATCGGTACTAATCGATACATGAGTAAGGTTATTCAGGGTACCTTTTTGGTGTGATATTTCAGTATTTCTACAACTTATTTGATTTCTAGTTATAGAATTTAGATTATTTATTTCTCAGTATAACGCTTTCAGCTTATAGTATTGAACAACAAAATTTCTCAAGGATTTTCGTAGATTTCAGATTAATTATATTTGTTATACTTTATAATTACTTGTTTAGAATGAAGAACAAATGATTTTATGATGCAATCATGTTTAAGTTTTTAACAGTATTATTCAAAGTTTCAAAAGAGTAAGAATTTTCAGAAAATATGCATAAATCAAAGAAATGTACATACTTATTTATAAACTATCCACTCACTGAGTTACAAGCTCATATATTCTGTTACATCTTTCCTTATCAGATAGTAACTGAGTTGAGTAGTATCGGAGCTTGTTGATCCATCGAGTTGAGCTACACTTTGCCTTTAATTGTATGATTCATTTTGTCAACTTACTTAGTGCATATTTCTTTTAGGATGCATATATGTTGTGTCAAAAAAGTTAAATAGCAGTACATGTATCCATATCATGAGCTCATTGCATATTGGGTATCTTGAGTACATTTGGAGACTTTTGTTGTAAAATATTTGTAAAGGTCGACTTTCCAGTATTGTATTTTGAATAGTTTGAGTTTTGAGGGACTGGTGTACCCTATTTTAAAATATATGTACTGGTTGGAGAATATTGATTATTTTTCAGATGGTTTTAATCCATATTACTGGGAAACTCTGTCAAAATTTTTATTAAATAAATTCATTCACAGTCAAAGCATGTCAAGATTGCCTTGGTGGTGGGTCTGGCACTTAACTGGTATCTACTATCGGTGCATGACACGTGTCGGGTCCATTAGGGTGATTCGAAGACGGGCCGTGTCAGTGTGTGTGTGTGTGTGTTTCTATTCTTTATCGTTTTCTTGTTTTAGTGTCCGGTGAAAGGGAAAGAGGGAAGAGGCATGTACCTATGAGATAAAACCAATAAAAGAAATTTTTACGCTTTCTTTACCAACCCCAAAAACCTCATTGGATCTCCTCAATCTTATAAGGTTATACTTCATGGTATTCAAATGAGAGTGAAATAAAAAAGACAAAATAAAAAAATAAGAATATCGTATGTCATTTCTCAGAGAGAAATGAAATGAAACGAAGTAAGATATTTTGCTTCAATATCATTGAAAATTTTCTCCAAATGGGTAAAGAGTAGTTTCCCAATTCAAGAAGTGAAGCCCTATTAGAGGAGTACTTAGGGTTTGTTTGGCATAACTTTTAAAAAGTCAAAAGTTTTTTTTGAACATATTTAAATAATTTTTTAAAAATGCTTTGCGTGGTTAAAAGAGTTTGTAAAGGAAATAAGCCTACGGCGCCAGAAAACTCTTTTACAAGAAATAGAAGGGCATCTATCAACTTTAAGTTTATTACAATTATAAATGAAGATTCTCATTATCTCTTTTAAAATTCTTGATCATTTCTCACAAAAATCACAGGATGGACTATGAATCTTGTTCAAAAGTGCACGTCGATTTAAGTACCTTTAATCGTCTCGCCAGCTCATTAGCATGGAGTACATTAGCTAGTTTCGACTGGCCATACGCAGCACAGGTCTTGTACCTGCACGTAGACAATTAAAATCATATGTGAAAGTATATCGTCTTCCTTGAATTCATAACATGATCCGAGAGATGAATACAAATCCCAATATTCACAGAATCGAAAACGGAAATCAACAGCACTCAGAAAATAGAATCAAATACCCTTTTTCATCATTGAGTCTATTGAAACGTATTCCTTCTTTATAAGTCCAGCGGTGTGCCTCTGATGAAACATTCACAATTCTTCCCTCTATCTTCATCTCACGAGCTGTTTTTTTCATGGTTTCTATTAACAAATGCGTTAAAAGAAAATGACCTGCAAATAGGAAAGAGAAGTGAATCCAAGGACAATGAAAATAAAGCAGAAACCAAGGTTCATTTGGCGTTCAATTTTAGTTTCATGCTTCAATCTGAAATTTAAAATGATCTGGATTGATAACCGTTAAGTAACTTTTTTTTGTCAAAAAATATATAAGTAATTTTTATATATATATTACAAGCTATTAATGCAGTCCAATTTCATCTCCAAGAGTATTTTGTAATGTCACAATTTTAGGGTTTGTTCAGCAGAGCTTCAGCTTTTTGTAGAAGAGTTACCGAGGAAGTTACCTCGAGTCAACTTCCTCTAAAACTCTCTTACAAAACACTTCAAATCAACTTTTTAATCCTAGAAGCAACTAGAAAGGCCCTCAGATATACAGATGCGTTCAAGAAAGAGCCTAATACCCAAGTGATTTGTAGCGAAATGCAGCTCGATGTTGTCTTCAGAGAGCTTGAATGGAGTTGCCGTTCCTGCATTATTACTTCAAAAGAGAAGAAAAAATGCACTTCTAAAAATCGGATAAAGTAAAAACCGGGTGAACTACAAATATGTGCACACGACACAGGATGTGGGACTACATCAAATTCATATTTTACAGTATAGAGTGAGTTGGTTAGGCTCGTTTACTCACATTAAAAGGTTCAAAGGACGACCTGTGGAAGTGAACTCTGATGCAAAATTTCGGACAGATGCCAAAGAACTGAGATCTAACTCCATGATATCAACTTTGGCAGCAGGAATTTCCTTAACTATTGCTTCTTTAACTTTTTTTCCAGCAGCCATGTTCCTGACGCCCATTATAACATTCACGCCACGCAACGCAAGAACACGTGCAGTTTCTGAACCAATACCACTCGACGCCCCTACAATTTAAGTCGTCATGAGTAAATATATATGAAGAAAATGTCTCCATTTTTTCTCACGATTCCCAGAGAAATGTTACGAAGTAAGAACTAGTCATGAAACAGAACACATATTTTAACAAAATCATAATTAACAAGAATCCATAAGAATATTGAAAAAACATTAATAAAGTCCCAGAAATTCATAAAAGAATGTCTAATATGGGACCTGTAACAATGGCAGTGAGGCCAGAACCATCTATTCCATTGGTGACTTCTTCGGCCGTGGAAGAAGAAGAAAACCCAGACGGGCCATTTCTTCTGAGAATCCACATGTTAAAATTGGAATTTTGAGTTTTAATATTCAGAAAAATGGCCAAGAAGATTATTGAAAATTAAAGAAGAAAGAAAACAAGATAAGATTGTAGAGAAAACGTGGTCCATTGCTAATCGTGTAATCACCAAAGATCCTTAATTAACCACGGCATTAGTTAAGAGAAAACGTGGTCCATTGCTAATCAATGTGATAATTGGTATGTTACTATTTGCACGACGGACAGAAGAATGTCATTCTAAGAATAATTGCGTAACAAAAATATGTCGACCGCAAATAAAATTTCAAATTTTCGACTACAGTTATGAACTGATTATTTTATTAAAGTACAAGTATATGAAATAGTGTAATTTGAATTTTCTCCTAGGCAATTTTTTGGGAGAATCATGTATATAATTTGTTAAGATTTGGAGTTCCATATTAAAAGATCAATCTTATTAAGTACAGTAACTCAAATTCTTATAATTAGTCTATATTTTTATCTTTATTCGATGTGAAATTTGACAGTGAGATTTTGGCGTAAGTCTATATGCTAATAGAATCTTACGCCTGTGATTCACTAGATGAGAAACAGATGAAGCACGAAATATCCCTAATGCCCATATTTACTCTTCCCATCATGTGTTTGAATTGTGGATCCCGCAGAAGAAAAATATGAAAATGAACTTAGCGTGGTTTAAAATTAGCGTGTAAATATAGTGTAAATATATGAAATTAGCGTGCACAATTTAATTGATAAAGACTCATAACCAAATAAATATTAAAAAAAAAAAACATGAATGTTGCATTTATTAGATAAATAATAAAATGTTAATTCCACTAATAAAGCATAACACAGTTTTAAATTTATAACCCAATAAAACATGTCTTAAATTTTTAAATAAAAATCTTTACGAAATTAAACTAAGAAATTGTTTAAATTTTAAAAAAATGTCTTGTTACACCGGATTATTTTTATTGAGTTTCATAAATCGGGGCACGACTGCACCTCATCGTCCGCCAACTAACAATCTGTTCTAACCTGTGAGGTAGGGGAAATGGGTGAGTATATGAAAATACTCAATAGGACACGAATTAATTGTGCAATTCCAAATAAAAATATTAAATCATGTGTCAAAAATATCATATTGTCATATCATATATTTAGAAACTGGTAAGAGCTCAAATATATTATATATTTGATACTGGATGGTCATTACATATCATAACATAACATATCATATCGTAGCTTTCTTTATCATAATATTTATCAACATGAAAAATAAATTAAACGGGATAAACAACTTGTACCCCGTAGTTCTACCTTGTTAGATAAAACAGTTTTTGAAAAGTAGAATCCAAAATCATATTCTAAACTTTATTTTCTGCATGTGTTGCTGCTACCCTGAATATGTGTGTCTATATTTTATTTTATTTTTTTAGGGATAAATAGCAAGAACCTTTGTATGTTATTTAGAGTTGAAAGAGAAAAATGAATTCTTGTCAGCGTAAAAATTGTCAAATTGCCATGTTTTTTTACCTAAATAAAAGTCTCAATCGCACTATTCTATACAATCAACAATTACTTCTTTCCTATCTAATCAACATGTCATCTCTATCATATCCCAAAATCAAGAAAAATAAATTATTTTAAAACAAAAACAACTTTATCTATCATTTAACATACACCTGTCTGCTAACCCGTACAATTCAAAATCAAAATAAAACACTCCATACACATTACACGTGGCAAAGCACAATTTCATTCAAGATTTCAATTAAATTGCACAATTAGTATTTTATCAACTTCTTCAAATTAAAATATCTTGGAGCTGACTTATTCGAACCAACTTTTTCTCGAGCTTAATATACATAATTAATTACGAAATATCTAATGAGCTCAATATTGATATATTTATCATTACTCTATCAATATTTAAATATTTTACCCAAATAAAATTGAATTTAATTAATGTATCATTTTAGTCCCCCCAACTTTTCCAAAATATAAAATATATAGCACATAGAATAATTAATTCTACTCTATTATTATTATTATTATTATTATTATTATTATTATTATTATTATGGGACTTTACAATCTCACATCCTTAAATATTTTTGTCATCGAAAATTACATTGGTTAATCGAAGAGTTTTAGATACTTGGTTTTAAGCTTATCTTCCTTTTCCCAATTTGACTCGTCCAGTACATGATTTCGTCATTAAACCTTGACCAGAAGAACTTTTCTATTTCTGAGTTGAAGCACTTTCCTATCCAAAATCATCGTCAGGATTTCTTCGTATGACCGTTCTTTTTGTACTTCCAAAGTTTGGTAACTTACGACATGATTAAGATCATGAAAATATTTTCTAAGCATCAAAATATGAAAAACATTATGCACCGCTGTGAGTTCAGGTTGTAAGACAAGTCGATAAGCCACAACGCCAATCTTTTCAAGAATTTCAAAAGGTTCAATATATCGTGGTCTCACCTTTCTCTTTTTACCAAATCTTAATACTCCCTTCATTGGTGCTACTTTTAGAAAAACTTTATCACCCAACTGAAACTCCAAATCCATTTTTCTACCATCAGCATGTCTTTTCTGTCGGTTTTGTGCTGTCTTTATTCTTGCTCTAATCTTATCAACCGACTCAACTATTCGTTCAATAATTTCAGGATCCAAAATTCTATTCTCTCCAATTTCATCCCAATAGACAGGGGATCTGCACTTCCTACCATAAAGAGCTTCATATGGAGTCATGCCTATAGTGGCCTGAAAGATATTGTTGTAAGCAAACTCCACTAACGGTAGATGTGTTTCCCAACTACCGCCAAGATTCAAAACACGCGCCCTTAACATATCTACAAGAGTTTGAATGGTTCTTTCCTATTGTCCATCCGTCTGTAGATGATAAGCAGTACTAAATTTCAATTTAGTCCCCAGGCTCCTTATAAGTTTTTCCGAAATTTTGATGTAAATCGCAATCTCTACCTGAAACAATGTTCAATGGAACTCCATGCAATCTGACTATCTCTTTGATATATAACTATGCGAGTTGTTCCATATTAAAATTTACTTTGATTGGTAGAAAATGGGCAGACTTCGTCAAACGATCAACCACTACCTAAATAGCATTGTGACCTTTTGCTGATCTCGAAAAGCCCACCACTAAGTCCATCGCTATGTGTTCCCACTTCCATTCTGGAATATCCAACGATTTCAACAGTCCTGATGGCCTTTGATATTCTCTCTTGACCTACTGATAGACAATACATTTCTCTACGAATAGTCCAATTCCTCTTTTCATGTTTCTCCACCAAAATGTATCTTGGAGATCTCAATTCATTTTCCTACTGCCCGGATGTGCAGCATACGAAGTGAAATGAGCCTCTTCCAACATCTCGTTTCTTATACTTTTATTTTTAGGTACACACAACCTTCATGTAAAAGTTAGTGCATTATCTACAAATACTTCAAACCCTATACGTTTGCTTGAACCAACATCAGCCTTAATTTTCTGTAGGAATTGATCATTATCTCGTTCTTCCTTAATTCGATCCCGAAGAGTAGATTGAATTATAAATGCTTTTATTCTCGATATAGCCTGGGTTGGCACGTGATGACTTCCAATCTCAATTTCTCAAAGTCCTTTATCAAGTGTTCCTGCACCGTGGGTAAAACTGCTAATTGTGATCCTGTCTTCCTATTTAAGGTATCTGTGACTACGTTAGTCTTACCTGGATGGTAAAGCATTGTGCAGTCGTAATCTTTCACTAACTCCAACCATCTCATCTGTTTCATATCCAGTTCCTTCTGTGTGAAAAAGTATTTGAGACTCTTATGGTCCGTATAGATTTCACACTTCCTTCCATACTGATAATGACACCATATTTTTAAAGCGTGAACTACTGATGCACGTTCCATGTCGTGCATAAGATAATTTTGTTCATATTGCTTCAATTGTCTCGAGGTGTGATCAATCACATTTCCATGTTGCATCATAACACAGCCCAAACCCTGTTTGGAGATATCACTATAAATTACAAACCCATCCGATCCTTCAGGTATCGTTAATATAGGAGCCAAAACTAGTCTCTGCTTCAGTTCCTGAAAATATTTTTCACACTTTTTCGTCCACTAAAACTGCATACCCTTTCTAGTCAATTAAGTCATCGAACCTACTATTTTTTTAGAAACCCTCAATATATCTCCAATAATATACAGCCCTAACAAATTGCGAACTTCACCTACATTATCGGTCTAGGCCAATTAGTTATTGCTTCCACTTTAAATGGGTCTACCTCAATTCCCTGGACAGTAACTATGTGGCAAAGGATACCCATTTGATTAAGCCAAAATTCGTACTTCTTGAATTTGGCGTATAATTTCTCTTTTCTCAAAGTTTCGAGTACTACCCGGAGTTGTTCCTCATGTTATTTCTTATCTTTAGAGTACACGAGTATGTCGTCAATAAATACTATGACAAACTTGTCTATGTACTGAAGGAACACCCGATTCATTAGATCTATAAATACAGTTGGAGCATTGGTTAAACCAAATGGCATGACAGTGAATTCATAATGTCTGTAATGAGTCCTGAAAGCAGTTTTTGGTATGTCACTTGTCTTAACCTTCAGTTGATGATACTCCGACATCAAGTCGATCTTTGAAAACACCGTTGCACCCTTTAATTGGTCGAATAAATCTTTTATTCTTGGAAGCGGGTATCTATTTTTAATAGTCGGATGGTTCAACTCTCGATAGTCAATACACATCTTCATACTCCCATTTTTCTTCTTCACAAAAAGTACTGAAGCTTCCCAAGGAGATACACTCGGTCGAATGAAACCTTTTTCCAGCAACTCTTCCAAATGTAACTCCAATTCTTGAAGTTCTTTTCGTGCCATTCTATACGAGGCATTAGATGCTGGTGCCGCTCCGGGAACAAAGTTAATTGTAAATTGCACTTGTCTATCTGGTTGAATGCCAGTAAATCTTCTGGGAATACGTTTGCAAAG